GTGCATGAAAGAGACAAAGAAGTGTGGATAAAGATGATGAAGAAGGCACGATGGCAACTCTGTGCTTGTTTTCAGGTCACAATGTCAGCATTCTGATCAGGTGGCTGTCTGAGAGAGAGAGAGCTGTATATCCATAAGATTTTTCTTTATCTACTTGGGACAAACTTAAATTTTCTATGATTATAATATCCTCTTTGATACATTTTCATGTTCTATGTCTTCCATAGAATGCCTACAGCAGGAGATACCTTTTTTTGGTATGCTTAATGTAATCTATATTATGATTCATTCATGACAGTGCCTATCAGAGTAAGTAAAGCTAGGTGTTGGGAAAAAAAACCCAAATATTAGTGGTTTAACACAATAAAGTATATTTTCCCTCACATCACCATCCAATCAAAGTTAGTGGGCAGTGGGGAGAGCTTCATTCCGTAAAGTCAATCAAGGACATAGACATTTCTCCCATCTTGCCATATTGTGAGATGTAGCAGTGGTTAGCATGGTTTAGTCTGAGGTTGTCAAGGAATGGAAAGAGGGAGAGAGTGGGGTGAGGGCTCACCTGCTGTTGGTTGCCTAGATGCAGAAGTGAAACTCTACTTCTACTCAAATTCCATTGGTCAGAACTGGCCATATGACCTTACCTAGATGCAAGGAGAGTGAATGGGCAAAGCAGCTTAGCCTTGTGCCCATGGAGAGGAATTGAGGTTTCATTAGTATCCATGATGCTTTTGAAATGTCACTTTCTCTCTGAAGCAAGTGCCTAGGACTGCACCTGTTATATGGTAGGCACTCAGAAATGTTTCTTGAGCAAATACATGAAATGAATGAATAGGTGTAGGCTTCTGCTGTTCTGTTCTGCTAAGGCAGAAAATTGGAAGGAAATAATTTTGAGAGAAGAAAAATCTGTCTGCTATCCCCGATGTATTCATGACCATTTATTTGTAAAATTATTTCACAAGCACTCTAGGAATTCATATTCTTTTGAAGGTACGTTTTCATTTATTCAACAAACCATTGAGTGCCTTCTATGTCAAGTGCTATGCTGTGTGCTCAGGAAATAGAGGTGGAAGTCATCATTCCTCCCCATTGGTAACTCACCTGGAATGCATCTAGAGGAAAGTGGGAAAAGAAGCCAGTAATTACAGCCATTATGTAGGCGCCATGATAGAAATACAGATGGACTGTGGTGGTTATGCTGAGAAATGGCACCTGATTGAGTCAGGAATGGGTGTTGTGGGGTTTCATTGTCTAGAAGAGGTGGTATTTTGGTTGGATGAACGTGAGTTTGCTAGTTGATACCCATAAAAGAACGGCAGAGCGAATGGTATTCAACAGTTTAGGGAAATGCAGTTCCTTCAGTAGGTCAAAATGGGGTGATAGAAGCCACGTGCAGTGGCTCACACCTTTAATCCCAGCACTTTGGGAGGCCGAGGCGGGTGGATCACAAGGTCAGGAGTTCAAGACAAGTCTGGCCAACACAATCAAACCCCCTACCAACTGAAAATACAAAAAATTAGCCAGGTGTGGTTGTGTGTGCCTGTAATCCCAGCTACTTGGGTGGCTGGGGCAGGAGAATTGCATGAACCCAGGAGGTGGAGGTTACAGCGAGTGAAGATCACACCATTGTACACCAGCCTAGGGGACAATACAAGACTTCGTCTCAAAGAAAAAGAAAAGGGGTGATGGAAATACTGGGAGCTAAGGCCAGAAAGGTAGGTCTGGGCTGAATCACGAAGCACATCTAAACTGCATTAAATAAACAATGAATAGGGGTTAAGATTAGGAATTACATGATTTGTCTTCATCAAATGAAAGAATCAATACACACAGTAATATCTAAGCAACCATGTTATCTGTATCAACCAGTCTATTTTTCTCCTTTGATCATCCTCAAATAATATAAAATTACTACATTAAAAAACAAACAAAGCCCATTCATATTATTTTGAGGACAACCGTTTTGTGGGAAGAGGTTAGAAATAAGAGCACAAAGAAAGGTGTGCAGTATCCTCCATTCATGTAGCCTGGCCTCTGAGACAGAACAGGAAGGAGGCCTATTTCAAGGAAAACAAAGGAATTGGATCCCTGATTTTATAAGAACCGAATCTGTCAATAGAGCGGATTCTTCTAGGAAAGTGTTTTAAGGTGGACTAGGGAAGAAAACTAGGAACAATTCGGGGAGCTCCTGTTCTTGGTATTTCTGCATCAGCTAAGTGGTTGTCAAAGTCGTTCATTTAAGGAACTAAGTATCAGTTCAGTTCAATCAGTAGTTTGTGAGCATTCATTCCCCCTTCATTCATTCAGCACATTTCAATGACACTTTTGTGCCCTGCTCTAAGTTAGGTGCTGCCAGGAAGTAAAATATTGGGAAAGTAATGGTCTTGCCTTTGAGAAGATTCAACTAACACATGATTCTAGTGATTTCTAACCAAGGATGTGCTCTCCTTAGGCATCAAGGGAGGCTGGGCACTGTGGCTCATGCCTGTAATTCCAGCACTTAGGGAGGTTGAGGTGCAAGCATTATTGAAGCCGGGAGTTTTAGACCAGCCTGGGCAGCAAAGCATGACCATGTCTCTATAAAGAACTTAAAAAATTGGCCGGGCACAGTGGCTCAAGACTGTAATCCCAGCACTTTGGGAGGTTGAGGCGGGTGGATCATGAGGTCAAGAGATCGAGACCATCCTGGTCAACATGGTGAAACTCCATCTCTATTAAAATACAAAAATTAGCAGGGCATGGTGGCGCACGCCTGTGGTCCCAGCTACTCAGGAGGCTGAGGCAGGAGAATTGCTTGAACCTGGGAGCCGGAAGTTGCGGTGAGCAGAGATTGTGCCATTGCACTCCAGCCTGGGTAACAAGAGCAAAACTCCGACTCAAAAAAAAAAATTAGCCGGGCATGGTGGCCCCGGTAATCCCAAAACACTTGGGAGGTTGAGGCTGGACGATGGCTGGAGACAGCAGTGAGCTATGATTGTGCCACTGAAATCCAGCCTGGGCAACCATTGAGAACCTGGGAAAAAAAAAAAAAAAAGGAACAAATGAGAGAGAGAGAGAGAGAGAGAGAAAGAATAAAGAATATTAGTCTAAAACCCCTTGGAGTTCAAAGTTCAGATTCAGATTTTGATTCTGTGTCTCTGTGTTTGGGCAACCACTAACTGGTTGTCTGACCTTTAAATATTTCCAACTGCAAAACGAGATAATAACAGTTATATCACAATTGCCAGGATTCAATGAGATGACTCATGAAAGCTTTGTGTAAACAGTGCAGAACTTTGCAAACATTGGTACTACGATTAAAGGTGAATGTACTAGGACTTGAAAGCAGTGTTTTTCAAAGTGTTTGTTGAAACACTAATGCCCAAGATTGGAAATAGGCATTTCTCAAGAAAAGAGTTCTATGGTCAAACACATTTGGGAGATGCAGGATCAAAGAAAGTAAAATCTGTAAAATGCTAGTGTGCATTGTGAATCTCAAGGAAAACAAGTATTTTGTGTCGCTTTTCCCCAAATTGATGTTATCTTGGGATCTACCCCCACTCTCACTCCATCATCTCTAGGACCTTGAGATGGATAGAACTCACTTTGGGAAAGACTGCTCTCCAGGAAGGAAAGTATTAACCTTCACTTCAATTTTACAATCCCACCACCCAGGCCGGTTCCACACCTGTAATCCCAGCCCTGTGGGAGGCAGAGCACTTTGGGAGGCAGAGGTGGGAGGATCACGTGAGTCCAGGAGTTCAAGACTAGCCTGGGCCACATAATGACACCTCGTCTTTACAAAATATTTAAAAAATTAGCCTGGCATGCTGGCTCGCGCCTGTATTCCCAGCTGCTTGCAGGCGGTGGGGGGAGGGTGGGGGTGCTGAGATGGGAGGATCACTTGAGCCCAGAAGGTCGAGGCTGCACTGAGCCATGAACCCGCCACTGCATTCCACCCTGGGCGACCCTGTTTCAAAACAAAACAAAAAGTGCTGAGCCATTCATCATCAGACAATCTAGGAAAGTCATTCAACAACTTTCCAAGCAGCGTTGAGTTGTTCACCGACGAAGGCAAAAGAAAAGGGCCAGGCCCCCACTTTTCCAGGGTTAGAGTGAGGATTTCCTCATAGAATCGGGGGTGCGAGGTGCTGTGGTGGATACATTTAACATTTCTTCCAATACACCCATTGATGACAAGGCAGTAGCAGATAGGAAGCGACAAAAAAGAGAGCAGGGCTGATTCTCAAAGACTTTATAAGTTAGATTTTTATAAAAATTCTAAAAGTCAGGTAACAACACTACTACTCCGCTTCTAAGAAAAGTGTGCAGAAACATCTGCTAGAAAGACTGCTTCTGCCTCCCGCAAGTCAGATAAGTTTCATAGGCCAATAGCTTCCCTTCTATCCCCCTCCTACGGCTGGTCTCCCTTCTGCTCCCAAGACACACAAGGTGCCTGGCTGCCTTTTATACCTTCCCAGGCAGTGGCTGCCAGGAGCGAGAGGACGCAGGCGCAGTGCGGCTCAGGTGCGCGGGAGGCCCCGCCCCGCCTGGCCCCGCCCCCTTGCGCCCGTCCCGAGGGGCGGGGCTGCCCTGGTGGGCGGCGTGGGAGTGGGGACCTGGAGGGCAGTGGAGGAGACGGGGTAAATGTCAGGGTAGGGGAGGCCCGCGGAGGGCGGGGCCTCGAGGCGCGGCAGCGCGAGGTGGCTCGAGTCGCAGTTCCCGCGGGCGGCGACAGCAGAGCGCCCACTGCCTCCAGCAGGTAACGGCAGCGGTCACGCGGCGCCGCCTCAGCGCGGGGGTGGGACGTGGAGAACCCTCGGAGGGCGGCGGGACCCGGGCGGGGAAAGGCGCGGGGCGGCTCAGGTGCGCTTCTCCCGGCCGGCGGCGCGCTCAGGCTGTCGGGGGCGCCTGTGAGGGCCGCCCTGCGTCGCCGGCTGGCGGTGGGCGCCCGTCTGTTGGTCTCTTTGTCTTTAACTTTCTCTAAAATGGGGCGGGTTTGGGGCCCGTGGGCTGTTCCCGCGTCTCCTCAGCGACGCCTGCCTCGCGGGGGCCTGAGGGAGCTTTAGGCCCCGCCACAGCTGCGAGCGCGGTAGTCCGCAGGGCACCGGCGTGGGCGACGTGGAGCCCCCCGCCCGGGTAGGGGGCTCTGCCCAGCGGGACCCGTGACCCCGGACGGTCGAGAGCGCACGTGCGCCGCGCACCTGAGCTCGCCCCGCTCGCCGCTCCGTCTCGTGCTTCCGACGGCGCGTCCAGGTGGGCTCTGAGCTCTGCGGAAAGAGAAGCGAATTTCCTTTCCCTGGCGGGGTCTGATGAGGACAGCTTTGCAGGAGGTTTTTAGCTGTGATGTTTCTGAAACTTTGTGAAGCGGCGAAAGGATGTGAGAAGTGGCACTTTCATGTATGTGGTGGTTGCAAACCACAGTCTATCCAGCTGGGTTTTATTTTTGACTTCTGCTTCTTCCAGGCTTTCCTTCACTGTGGTTTTCTTTGCAGGAAGATAAGTGGGTGAACTGTGGGCTCTGTTACACACCGATAGACGTCTGGGTGTAGACAAGATAGATGCCAAGCCAAAAGCACTGATTCCTTTAGCATATTTAAAATAAAGCAAATAAAAGGATTACCTTTGTAATTAAAATGTTATTCTGGTTCTCCCTGTAGGTAGACAGTCAATAGAAATTTCTTTTCCCTGATTAATACTGTAAAACATAGCCTGGAAAATATTGAGAATCAGCAATAACAACAAAATCCTAATGACCAGTTTCATATTTTGATGTGTAACTTCAGCATGGTTGAAAATTGTTTTTTCTGGAAGGAGGGGATAATAATGTTGCTTGCCTTTGAGAGCTGAGATGGAGGATATTTGCTTTTTATCATCTTTTTTTGTATATTGTAGTTTTTGCTAATGAATATGAGTTACCTTCATAACTGAGGAAGAGGCCATAATACAAATTTATTCTTTTTTAACTCTTCATGAAAAATCTAAGTATGTCTTGTATTTTATTGACTTCATTTGAATTATAATTGTGCATTTACGATTAAAACTAATATTGAGAGATTAATTCCGGTTGAGAGAAAATGAGTTTGAGAATCTGGCCCGACATCTGGCAGAGCTGTGTAGTTGAGATATACTAATAGATATATTGGTATCAGGTTTTCTGAAGTCAAGATCAGACTTACACATATTGGCAGCAGAAGTGGATTTGTGATAGTTAATCCTCTAAGGGCGTAAGAAATCATTTAAGCAAGTTTAGTTTAACAGGAGGGCAAGATCAAGGATGGGGAACACCAGCATGGAGCGATGGGTAGAGACAGCCAAGGAGTCTGAGGAGGAGCATCAGCAAAGGAGGAAATCTAGGAGGCAGTGCTGTCCGAAAAGCCGGGAGAGGAGAATTTTAACTAGGAGAGAAGTCTATCTGGGAGTTGAGAACTGATTAAGTACCTATTGGCTTTGGAAGTTAGAGGGGGCTGTAACCTCAGCAGATATAATTTAAGTACACTATAAGGGTAGAAGCCAAATTTGAATGAATCTGAGGAGTGAATAGTGATTCTACTCTCACAAGTAAATGTAGTGAGTTTCGAAACTGTTTTGAGAAACAGGTTAGAAGGAGAGTGATTTGGACTAAATCAGAATTTGTGAGGAGACGATTAAAAAAATAGGAGAGACAAAAGGATGATAGACTAGCCATAATAATTACAAATTTTAAAAATGAAGTGCATCATTTCGTAACATTGTTCCTCTTTCATGGTTAAGTAGCAGAAGCTGAGAGCAAGAAGCTGAGCATATTGAAAGTAACTATTCGTGATAAAGTAGTTATGCCCCGTCCCATCCAAATTATGAACAGTACTTTAGTGTTTTGGTGTATTGGGTTCAGGTGTTATTGGTGTTTAAGTCACACATATAAACTGTGTTGGACTCTATTTCACATGAGTTCCAGTACGTTGATACTCCCAACTTGCTTTTAAGTTATGTGGTCCTTTTATGTATGTCCCAATGATTCTTCTAAAAATCTTATGTAGAAATCAGGTGTTTGGACTAAATCAGAATTTGTGAGGCATACATCATTTAGGGCCTTTGCTTCAATTATTATTATGCATTCAAGGGAAAATGCTCTTATTAAAATTTCTGTATAATGAGTTTCACTTCAGTCTTCATCGAAAGTTTGATTTTTTTGTTGCTCAAGAGTTCAAATTGTTTTTATGAGTATTTTCCTTAGGAATACGAAAAGGATGGTTAAAATGGAAAAAGCTGACAACCATGTCGATTAGGATGTGGAGTAACTGGAAGTCTCATAATCTGCTAGTGGAACTGTAAATTGGTGTAATCATTTTGGAAAACTTTTTGGCATTGTCTACTAAAGACATACACATAAGCTATGCCCAGACATACAGCCAACAAAATTCTAGAAAATACACACTAATATGATGGAAAACACATCAGTGGTTACTTGGGAGTAGGGGAAAGAGAAAGGAGGGATGGATTAAAAAGGGGTATAAAGAAACTTTGGGGGGGATGATGGATATATTCATTTTCTTGATGGAATGATGTATCCACTAATGTGTGTGTGTGTGTGTGTCTGTCTGTCTGACTCATTTAATTATAATTTAAATATTTGAAATTTATTGTAGGTAAATTATCCTTCAATAAAGCTTTGAAACAGATTAAATAAAAAAATAGAAGAAAGACACATCATTTAAGTATATTTACCTCATTCAAATACTATAGTTATCTCAGGGTAATATAATTCTGGATAAGTTTTATTTTACTCATATAGTTTTCTGAATTTTTAATATTTTGTACCACAACCATGTATTTATTTACTTCTTAAATGATAAATTATTTCATATGTGCAAAACAGTACTTTTGACACATCTACAGATTCAGAGAATACAAATAAATACCCCTGTTCCTATATATTGCTTAAGAAATAATACATAATCAACATTTTTGAAGCCAGCTTGTGTGTTCTCTGTGATTATATCTTTCTCTTTCCACACTCCTTGATTTTCTATATGGTTTTACCACGTATCTATGCATTGCAAACACTATGTTGTTTAGTCCACTTTAGAATGCTGTATAAATGATATTCTACTATGTGTTTCCTGTGGCTTTGCATTTGCACATTCTATTTCTGAGATTCCTTCATGCTGATGTGTATTATAGTTTATTCACTTTTTATTACTGTATATCATTTCATTGTGTGACTTTACCACTGTTTATCCATTATCCTGTGGATGGATATTTAAGATGTTTTCAGTCTTCTTTTTGTTCTTTTAAATTTAATTTTTACTTTTTTCCATTAAAATCTATTTTTAAATGCCCTTTCTAATGTATGTCTCTTTGTGTTCATGATTTTAAACACCCTCAGTTTTGCTGGAAAATATTGAATTGTTTTATAAAGTGGCTGTACCAGTTTATACCCTCACAAGCAGGATGTTTAAGTATTCACTTTGTTCTCTTTTTCAATATTTAAGACATTTCTACATTCGTAATTACCTGATTTTTTTTCTTTGACAATCTGGTGAGTGAGAGATGGTATCCCATTGGGGGTTTAATGTAAATTTCCTTAATTACTGATGATGTTGAACCTTTCTTAGTTTGTCTTCTGTGGTTGTCTCTTTATGTCTTTTGCCATGTATTTTTTTTTAAACTTTAAAAAATAGATTTCTTTTTATTTTTTGAGACGGAGTTTCACTCTTGTTGCCCAGGCTGGAGTGCAGTGGCTCAATCTCAGCTCACTGCAACCTCCACCTCCTGCAACCTCCACTTCCCAGGTTCAAGCGATTCTCCTGTCTTAGCCTCCTGAGTAGCTGGGATTACAGGTGCGCACCACTATGCCTGGCTAATTTTTTGTATTTTTCATAGAAACAGATTTTCACATGTTGGCCAGGCTTGTCTCAAACTCCTGACCTCAGATGATCCACCTGCCTCAGCCTCCCAAAGTGCTGGGATTACAGACGTGAGCCACCGCACCCAGCCTAAAAAATGGATTTCTGTAATAGAAGTTCTTTATATATTTTGGGTGTGAATCTCTTGTCATTTATGCATGTGGTATATATTTTTTTTCTCTAGGTGAGCAGACTGTCTTTTACTTTCTTTATAGTGTCTTTTGATGACCACATTTTACAGTTGAATATAGTTGACTATGTCAACTTTTTCAGCACTTTGGAAGGCCAAGGTGGGTGGATCACGAAGTAAGGAGCTCAAGACCAGCCTGGCCAAATTGGTGAAACCCTGTCTCTACTAAAAATACAAAAATTAGCCAGGAACTCTGGCGGGTGCCTGTAATCCCAGCACTCGGGAAGCTGAGACAGAGAATTACTTGAACCCAGGAGGCAGAGGTTGCAGTGAGCCAAGATTGTGCCATTGCACTCCAGCCTGGGCAACAGAGCGAGACTCCATCTAAATATATATATGTGTGTGTGTGTGAGTGTGTGTGTGTGTGTGTGTGTGTATATATGGAGAGAGAGAGAGAGAGAGAGACTCTGATATTTTCTGCTAAAAGCAGGGGGTATATGGGAAATCTCTGTACCTTCTCAATTTTACTGTGATTCTAAAACTACTCTAAAATAGAAAGTTTATTTAAAAAGTTGCCTTTCATATTTGTGTCCTTAATCCATGTAGAACTGATTTTTGTGTGGTGCAAAATCAGAGTCCAGTTTCTTTTTTTTTTCCATATGGCTAATCAGTTTTTCCCAGCATTGTAGAATTGAATATTCTGTTTTTCATTCCAGTGATCTACAAGTATCACAGATGAAGTTTCCATATATGTGTGGTTGTTTCCAGGCTACTCTTTCTAAAACAGATCTGTTTGTGTATCCTTACCACAGTCTTATTTACTTTAGCTGTTTGAAGAACCTTGATACCTGAGAGAACAAGTCATCATCCACCCATGCTTCTTTTCAAAAGAAGCATACTTCTTTTCCTTTTTAAAAAAAGTAAACTTCTTTATTGGAGTAAAATGTGTTATTTAATTATTAAATATCTACTGTAATCACTGAAGTAATAAATAATACTGAAACTATTCTAATATAGACTATCCGGGCTGCAAATCCTTTCCTAACCCACTAGAGTTAATTTTAACTTGGAAAGTAAATATAGGATTTGCATTTTAGGAACGGTGTAAATTGAGGTATTAGACGTTAGCTGAAAACCACTAACAATGCTGTATTTTAAAAAACAATTCATAAGATAGGCATTAACATGCCAAAATCTAAGAGAAAGGTGAACATATGAGCAACTAAAGGAGACTTTAA